GAGAGAGAGTCAGAGATCGTTGAGCCAAGGTACATGACGTCATGAACAACCTCCAGTTCTTGTGTAGAGATGGTAATGGAGGGAGGTGAGTCCACGCACTGGAGGAAATACAGTACCAAAGCCTTAAAATTGTTGTGGCCCTGAGGTTCTCAGTTAGACTTAGTTTCTAGATGGAGATTGCAAATGAAATGAATCACTGGCAGGTATGCAGGTATCAGATTACACTGGGTGATAGGGATAAAGAAGCAATGACTGGTCTCCCTTTCTGCTTTGATACAAAGAGGTATGCAGCTCCAATCAAGTGCTAAAACACGAAGCAAACAGTATTGTAAATACATATTTACAATTAAATATACTGACTTGGATCCCAAAATAACTTACCTGGAGGAAGTTCGTGGAAGGAAATTTTCCTTCCTTCTGCCTCAGCCTTGTGTCCAGGTGTCATCTGTCTTTACCCTTGAGAATGCTTTTCCAGATAGTTGTGAGTCTGTCTTTGTGAACACTTTGGGATGGGACGTGGGGAGTTGCCAAGAAGGATGAATCGTCTAGTAAGTGGTCTCTAACCTTTTTGGGACAGCAGACTGGCGGAGCCTCTGAGGAAGGCGGGGCACCACTACCCCCGCACTCACACGGGCACATGCTCAGGAGCACCTCCATGCATTCTAGTCTGTCCTCCCAAGAAGCAGGCATTTTTTAATTTTGTGGCTGCTGTCACCATCTGCAATGATCATGGAGCTCAAGAAAGTAAAATCTGTCACTGCCTCCGTATCTTCCCCTTCTAGCATGTTGAACACCTTCCGACCTGAGGGGCTCATCTTCCAGCGGCATATCTTTTAGGCTTTTGTTTCTGTTCATGGGGTGTTCTTGGCAGAGATACTTGAGTGGCTTGCCAGTTCCTGCTCCCGGGGGATCACGTTTAGTTGGAACTCTCCACTATGACCTGTCCGTCTTGGGTGTCCCTGCACAGCATAGCCCATAGCTTCTCTGAATTACTTAAGCTCCTTCGCCACAACAAGGCAGCAATCCGTGAAGGGGCCTTATGCATTAATTCTCTCCAAATGCCATATCAATAACAACCCTCCTAAGATACAAGAAATACAATACAGAAAGATACATATTGTTTAACTTCTTGGTTAAACTGTTGCCATGCCCACTCCACCAAATGCAGACTAGAAAGCTCTTCCAGTTTCCAAACATTTTCCTTTGGATAGGCAACCTAAGGAAGAATAGCTATATAGACCCAAAAGCTCAATGAACATGTTGTATGCATGTTCTCCAAAATATGTCTGTCACCTTTCGAAATAAAAAAGGAAGAGCTGTGAGTTAGCAAAGGTTGTCACTGTCATAATCATTCATATAATGTGAAAGAAAGACAGGGAGGAACATTAACTAATTTGAAATGTGATGTTGGAGAACAGCCTTAGATGCACCACAAACGGCCAGAAAGGCAGAAAAGTGGTTGCTCAGTCAAGTCAAGCCTTAATTCTCACTAGAACAAAAATGAGAAAAACCAAAGCTATCCTACCATGCATATATAATGAAAATACAGAGCTGACTAGAAAGGACAATATACCTGGGGAAAGGGATGGGTGAAGAGACAGTAGGAGGAGAGAAATACCTAATATCATACATATTGTCTCAATTAAGTTATTACCACAGCTATTAGTTCGCAAGACCTGAGCAGAACCTACTGGAAAAGACAATATTGCTAGGAAGGGGAGGGAGTAAGAAGAGAGAACAACCTAATATAATATGCTGTTGGTTTGCAAGATCTGAGTAGAGCTTCTAATCATATGACATTTTGGAGGTCCTTCATATAGTCACCACGCTTCAGAAGTAACTTGATGGCACATAGCATCTTTGGTTTTTTTTTCTTAATTACCAGACAATTGTATAGCAACAATATGGGCGTAATGGTTGAAACTATTACCAGATACTGTATAGGCACCAAAGTTTGGCTAACATTGAATAAGACCATCCTCAGCCACAAAGCGAAAAACAATTATTTCATAGCTTAAGTGAGTGTGCTTCTGCATATTGGTTCTCTTTTCTATTTTAATATCTTTTAAAATATTTATTTATTTAATTTATATCCCGCCCATCTGGTATATCATGCCACTCTGGGCGGCTAACAGCAAGGATATACTATTAAAATAAAATCCATAAACATAATAAATGATAGATAGAAAAAAGAAGAAAATTAAGTCAAATTAAATGCTGGTAGGAGGGAAGGCCTGGGTGTAGAGCCATGTTTTTAATTGTGTTTTAAATGTACCCAGCGTAGGGGCCGCACGAATCACAGGAGGGAGATTGTTCCAAAGGCGAGGAGCCACCGCTGCGAAGGCCCGGTTTCGCGTCTTTTCCCACTGGGCCTCCCTCGGCGTCAGGCTCCTCAGCCTCACCTCCTGGCTCGTGTGGGTGATCCGGGTAGATCGTGGTGGGAGCACAATCTTCTGTGCTGCAGACACAGAATCCCTTTCCTAGTACCAATGTCTTTTTGGACAGGAAATAGTTAAAAAGTTCTCTTGTGAGTCAGTTAATTGGGTCCTGATTGACAGAGTCAAAAGTTCAGCTTGCCCCAGACCTAGAGCTTGTTTCTCCTTTGAAGACTTGTGTCAGGAGTCCGATCTCAGGAATCCTGAGACAATGTTTACTGAAAGCACTCAGGGCTGGGACAAATGCAACTTCAGTGTGCTTTTGTAATACATAAATACTTTGAATCTGCCTTATAAAATTATATGTTATCCCTGGGGGTGCATAGCAAAATGATGGTTTCTGGAGCACTGTTATTCTGGTATTTTATTTCAAGCAAGACTAGGGTTGGTGGCTTTTTTGCTTCCTTTTTCACTCCTTCTCGACCATTCATTGCCTTCCAAAATATCTTCCTTCCAGGGCCACAAATGTATCTACTTTGGAACATGCATGCTCCGTTAAAGTGACTGCTTTACCTTTTTGAAAGGCTTTTTTGAGGACCAATGTTTCAGCCCCTTTAGCCTGGATTCCTTCCAAATGTAATGCAGAAATTACTTTGAATATTCCCTAACAAAATTGTATGCTAATTCCCTGGAGATACATGGCAAAATGTCCCTTTATAGAGAACTGTCACTCCATTGTGTACTTTAAAGCAAGCCTGCTTCCCCCCCAAAAAAAGAAACTAACCTGTGTTTTGACAGTTTCTGTGACCTTTCACTGCCCTCTAAACATCTCCCTTCTAGGACATTTAGGTCTCTTGTTTCTGCACAGGGGGGAATAGTTTTACATTTAAAAATCACTGTATTTGAAAACTCTTTGCCCAAATGTTCCCAAATTTGGTGCAGAACAAGAGCAGACTACATCTGTTTACATCTGTGCCAGATTTGGTGGTGATCCAGAATCCAGTTTCAAAGTTATAACTTTTTGTTTGGGCTGCCCCCATTTTTAGAATTGCCGTGTTAAATGTTGATTCACTGTGCTGCACAATAACATCACTGTATTCTTGTGTAGTGATAATTTATATGCAGACTTTTTCCTGTAGGGAACACAAGGCAGTTCACAAACTATTAAGCCTATAGGATGATCACAATTAAAACACCATACAAACTTCTAATAAGAACTATTAAATATTTATCAATATTTACAATTAATATATTGGTGGCATAAGAGCAATTCTTGCTTAGTTTCTTCCTGTGCTACAAAGGTAATGTAAAAAGCTTTCCATCCCATCATAGTCCCACTTTGTGGGAGAGATGGGAAGATGGCATAGAGAGCCACTGCAGTCTTTAGCGCTTGTATGATTCAGGGCTGCTCTCATGTTGATCTTCCTGTGTTGGTGGAAGAATAATGACACAACATTATTAGGAGTTTTAGATATAAAGGGTCAACTTTTGCTTATTATAGTAATAATTGGAGACTTCTTTGAGAGCAGAAATGTGTGTTGTTTATATATATATATATATATAAAATCAGATTTTTTAAAAATTTTAAATTTAACATTAAAATTGATGTGTACTTTTGTTTTCTTATGTTGCCCATGATATGATGGTGTGCATTACTTATTTTCATGTATAAGTACTGGACATAACTTTCTATACTTAGAGCATGCATATAAAGTGTGATTGAAATAAGGAATGGATAAAAGTATATCTGATTCCTGGATACTTAAACAGAGACAAAAAGAAATAGTGGATCAACTTTTTAAATGTTATGTAGTTTTTGCCTTGTAATTAATGAGAAGACAGTATTTTTAATTGGGTAGTTCAACTACTACAGCTTTCACAGACTGGTAGAGGGAAGGAAATTTTAATTAGCTCAAATTCAGAGGCCAGTTTTTTTAAGTTTTTGAATCAGTTCTTATGAATTATAATAAATTAAAGCAAAATATATGATTACTTAGCCTTTAAGTTTTTACTTTTGTTTACACAGTTGTAAGTGACATAAGTTACTTCCGTCACTTCAATAAGACATATTTAAGAAGGTTTCAGTAATGTGTGTATTTATTTTCAATCAAATTAGTCAGTCAATAAGTGAAAACAGATAAGCAATGTTCCCTCTAATTTTCAGCCCCACTGGGCAGGGCTTCATTGCAACTGGAAAGAATTGCTGTGAGTGCATGGAGGAAGAGGAAAACTGCTCAGAGGGGGCAGAGTCACACTTCCTTGCACAGTCACATGCTTAGAGGGAACGTTGCAGGGAAGTTAATGAACTAACATCTTCATGATTGTCAGTCTATACCATATGTGCCTGTTTTTGATAGTTCTGTCACACATCTACTGTTGCATTCATAAGGTAAACAAGAGTAAGGTAAACAAGAGTAGAGTTGGGTTGGTGTTCTGATGCATGGGTTGCATGCAGAAATCATCATCCTCTGAATTCAACCCTTCGGATGCAGCCCCATGAGCCAAAATAAGAGGAGAACAAATGCACTGTGTTCTTTCATTCTTCATTCCCTCCAGTACATTTTTTCAGTGTGTCTCATCCTGGAATACATCTGTTGATATAATTTTTTTCTCTTGTTTCCCCAGATTTGGTCACCTTGATCAAACCCAAGCATCTTATTTCTCCTATCTGCAATTCTTGGAAATATGTTGCATCTCATTGTAGTACGGATACTGCAGTACAGATTCAAATAACATGGCTTTTCAGGGTTGAAAAAAAAAGTTCGTATGAAGACTGTAGCAATGTTTCTGGATTATATCAAAGATCTGCATCTTTATATTGTACAACATGTAACTAATGCGACACTTTTAATAAAGTGACCATCATGTGAATTTGGGAGCCCTGTGGGATCTTCCTGATCCAAAAGGACAAGAGACGGCGGGTATGTAGAAGTTATTTTATCTGTATTTTTTTGTTTGCATGGCATAGGGCTCAGCAGAAGATTATTTACCTTGGAGACAAAACCCTGGATTCAGAAACTTTATTTGTATTTCTCCTTGGTCCAAGGTGAAGGGAACTTCAAGGATTCCTTCCGTGAATATAGTAGAGTGAGGAGGAATATTTTCAGATTCAAAAAATTGCTTCATCCCAATTTAAAGAATAGGGGGGGATTAGTTTCTAAGAAATCCTTGAAACCTTGATGCCATGACAACTTGTTGACATTAGCCATTAACGAATGACAAAAGTAAAGCTGCAGTTACTATGTGGTTCTAATACATCAAAGCTTATTCTCTTTGACACTTGTTATTCAGGCAGAGTTTGGAAGCAATGTGTTACCAGTAAAGGTACCATGTTTCCCCAAAAATACGACAGGGTCTTATATTAATTTTTGCTCCAAAAATGCACTAGGGCTTATTTTCAGGGGATATTTTAAATTTTTTTCACGTAAAGCAATCTACATTTATTGAAATACAGTCATGTCATCTTTTTCTGGTTGCTGCACAGTGGTGGGGGGTGGGGTTTCACTTCCCAGGGCTTATTTTTTGGGTACAGCTTATATTACGAGCATCCTGAAAAATCATACTAGGGCTTATTTTCAGATTAGGTCTTATTTTCGGGAAAACAGGGTATTACCTATAACACATTGTTCACTGGGGCAATAAGGGAGTAACACTATTCCTTTTGTAAGTAAAGTAATTACTAGTAATGTTACTTTTTTCCACAGTTGTTACTTTCATCTGTTTAATATTTTTTCAGAGAACAAATGATTGGGCAGGATTTTCCAAATTTTAAGCTGTTCTTTGGAATAATGAAAAATTAAGTAATACAATTACTGTAGCACCTTAAAACTTTCTTGTACAAATTGTAACAAATAATTTTAATTTGTTACATTTAAAACTACAGCAAGTAGTAGTAATGATTCATTTTAAAAAAATAACTTTCAACCTCCACATTTAGACACCATCCAGGAACATATTTGATTCTGCTTTTCTTTTTGTTTAGAAATGAAGAAATATCTGGCATATTTATGAAATTCACATATACAGTACGACCCCATATCCGCTGGAGATTGTTTCCAAGCCCTCTCTGGATACTGAAAACTGCAGAGATATATATAGTGTTTGTTGTACACAGAGAGAGGGGGGAGGGAGACAGAGAGATACATACAGAGAGAAAGAGAGAGGTGGTTGTTGTATGTTTTTTGGCTGTTTGGCAATGTTCTCAAGGTTTTTCTTCCTAATGTTTTTTTGGCTGTTTGGCAATGTTCTCAAGGTTTTTCTTCCTAATGTTTCGCCAGTCTCTGTGGCGGGCATCTTCAGAGGACAGGAGTTAGGACTCTATGTTCTGGTGTAGTGTGTGGGGTAGTTGAATATTTGTAGCTATGGGATCAGCTTTTTGTTCTTTTCAGGAGATTGGGTGATTATGGTGATCAGGGTGGTTTTTTTGTTTGTTTGTTTGTTTTGTTATGCATATATTGTTGTGATAAGGGGGGAGATGATCTGTCAATGTGATGGGTGTTGTTAGCTAGTCTTTTGTGTGGCTGGGTAGAGTTCGTTGACCTTTTTGCAGGCTGTATTTTTCAGTGCTTTGGCTTTGTTGAGTTTTAGACTTTCTTCCTTTTTGTTGAAGCTGTGCTGATGTTTGTGGATTTCAGTGGCTTCCCTGTATAGTCTAACATAATGATTGCTGGTGTTGTCCAGTACTTCTGTATTTTGAAATAGGATTTCATGTCCAACTTGTTTCAGGGCATGTTCATCTACTGCCATTTTTTCTGGTTGTTTTAGACTGCAGTGTCTTTCATGTTCTTTGATTCTGGTGTGAATGCTGCATTTTGTGGTCCTAATATATACCTGTCCAGATAGTGCAAAGTATCCGGTTTACCGCAGTGGTGAGGGGGTCCCTTTTGTCCTTTGCTGACAGTAACATTTATTATATTTTTATGGTGGGCCTGACTACTGTTTGTAGGTTGTGTTTTTTCAAAAGTTTCCCCATGTGGTCCATGAACCCTTTGATGTATGGCAGAAATACTTTATTTGTGGGTGGCTGTTTTTCTTCTTCAGTTCGATGTTGTTTTCTCAGTTTAATGGCTCTTGTGATTTCATTCTTGGAATAGCCATTTGCCTGTAGGGCCAAATTCAGATGGTTGAATTCGTTGCTGAGAAATTGAGCTTCACAGTTCCGATTCTCACGGTCTACTAGTGTTTTGGTTATGCCTCTTTTTTGTTTTGGGTGGTGGTTGGAGTTTTCATGTAAGTACTGGTCTGTGTGGGTGGGTTTTCTGTAGACCTTGTGTCCCAATAGGAGGTCAGGTTTGTGTATGACCATGACATCTAAGAGAGGGAGTTGGCCCTCTATTTCTTTTTCCATGGTGAATTGTATACAGTATTTGGGTGGATGGTATTGAGATGGTTTAGAGATTCGAGAATACAAAGAGAGAAAGCTTAATTCTTAGAGATAATAATGAATCTCTTGAACACCTTTTGTTATCTTTTTTTCATTCTGAATGATGGCATAGATGTTGCCACATTTCCTAACTGACATGCACATGCAACTGGGTTGTGTATACATGAAACACATGTATATGGGGAACTTTTAAAAAGGTATAATTTGTAGCTGGTGACTTTATGCACTATTCTTTTGCTCATAGTGGAATAATTACTTCTAATTTGAGGAATAACTGCCTTGAGTACACTTGTTTGAGGTGCAAAAGCATAGACTTTATTTTTAGAGATTTTTGTTCTCAGATACATACATAAGCATCTGTTGTAGAAAAGAACAACATCTTGGTTAGTGTGCTCATCTGGGTTTGTTTCCCAGGGACATGGGTTTGTTTCCAGGTCTAATAGACTTTAACCATTGTTGCTATGTGCCGTAATTAGATAAGAAGACATTTGTGAAATCACTGTTTTCCAGATGAGAAGGTGAAAGATTAAGGATATGACAGAGCAAGAGATTTGAAGGTTGCTTGACCAAAAGAGTCTCACTGCTGGTTAAATGGTAGACTTATGAGATGGTAATAATGGTGGAAATTCACAGATTTATGAGGAAAAGAAAATAATGTAAGCAGTAGCAACTAAATTTATCTTATTCAAATGAAGGAGAACCTTAGAATTTACTTCCTGGTTGGATATCAAAAGTTTGAAAATCAAATTACCTTCAAATACTGTACTGTACCTCAGGTTTAGTTATACTGCAGTTCAAAAACGGGTTGATAGCCCTGAGCCACATAACAGATAGCTACCTAATCCACACAGTCCATAAACATCTAATGAAATCCAAGCTATTATCATGGGTTCTGGAGCCACATAACATTTAGATGGGAAGTCTTGGCAAATGGGTCTTTACTTTTAGTTTCCAAGACAGTTGAAAGACTGAGCATTCACTTGAGACTTCTTGTTAGCCGTTTCCCAGTACCTTAAGTCGACCCTCCCTAAATTTGTGCCTTTTATAATCTAGAAGTTTTACATATCAGCATCCGTGATTATTCATCATCTGACTTGGGCTGAGGGAAACTGCAGTGAAAAAGCATGTCTGGAGTACCTCTGAAATGTAGTTTCTTTACTATGAGAGATGTTAAGTTTATAGCCAGGCAGCTAGCTGCTGCGTGTCTGACATTTTGTGTAATAAAATATTTGTAGATGTATTGTAATTTTTCTTTATCTCAATAAAAATTAATGTTTATAGGCATTCTTCAGTTTACCAAAACCATAATCCCTTCTGTTAAACAGCTCTGTCTGCCAATTGTATTTTAAAACAGCAGTGTTTTTATATTCCCTCTTTCCAAAATTCCAACTTCTGGAGGTGTACATCCATGTGTCAGCAAAATAAATGTATACACATTCGAAGTATGGAGAATCTTTTGCCAGTCCCTGAAGGAGAAAAACATAAATGCCAGCTGCTACTTTGATCTAACTGCTCTAAAATGGGATACTTCATTTTACCTCTCTTTTTTTTTCAAATAAAGGGGAAGCAAAATAGCTTTCTTGATGTATCAATGCACTGCTATTTTAAATTGCCAAGGAAAACATTCTCACAATTCAATTTTCAGAAAAAGATATATCTACTGTCTTACCTTGACACCAAATTGTATGTGAATTTGGTAATAAATTCCTTAGAATTGGTTTTGATTAGAATTGGTTTTGAAGGTAGGATGAGGTGTAAGAACAAAAAATAATACAATGTACAGAAAGTTAAATAGCTACAAAGAGAAATAGATTAAATGAAAAACAATTAAAATGTGGTGGGCAGTATACATTCTTTTTCTTGCACCTATTAACGGTTCACCTCCTGGTTTTATTTTGTGTTTTGATATCAGTGCTGAAATTTTGTTGGTAGAGCTGTGCCATGTAACAAGGGTGAAGTCATTGGCCATAGCCATGCTGCAAGTGTTTCAGAGCAATAAAAATGTCTTTAAAGTTGTCTCTTCCCCACCCTCCACCTCCATGAAGGGCATCCTCGTTACAAGGCACAACTCCACTGATCTGTGGTTCTGGAAAATGGCCTTCTTGTTCCCATGAACTTTGTTACTGGAAAGACAAGTATTTTGATCGGAAGAGTCACTTTGAGACTAGCTGCACAAAATCTCTTGCAATGTACAAGTTTTTCTATTGACAAGAGGAGCAAAGTTTAGAGGCTTAGAGGATCTGGATGTCACACACATTTGAGCAATTTTTCAGGTAGCAGAACACAAAACAAACAAAACACAACAAAGTTTTTGTGTGACTTGCATTGTACGTAATTTAGTGTGGGTGCTCCCAAATAGGGCTCACGTTGCTGCATTTTGAATGGTTTCAAAATGCTTCATTTCATATGAAATGGTTGTTCATATAACTATAGAAGAACTTTTGCAAATAATGTTAGGCAGGACTTGGGAAGAAAACATTTCTGCTCAGTCAGCAGAGTTGTTTTGTTTTGTATTTGGCAGATTGAAGGGAAGAATAATCTGGGGAGGGGGAATGATAACAATTGGCAATCCGGCTGTGTCACAACCTTTGTTCCAGGCATGCAGCATCATGGCCAGAACCACATTGCTTCTTGCCTCTGGCAAGAATCCTGCATACCTGGCAGCCTTCTCTTTTTCTTCTGGTAAACTCTCTCTGTAACATCCAGCTAAGCTTGATGGCTGCTGCTGTTTCTGTTTCCTCTCTTGCTTTTTTCTCATTTTTCTTCCAAATGCTCTGTAGCTATGGGGCCAATGTTGTTGTTTTTAAGTATTTGTCAGGCATGCTTAGCACTCTAGTATTTATTGCTGTAAATATGCTTCTGGTCCAAGCTATTTTACCATATGGCTGCTCACTTTCTCTTGAGCCACAGTTGCTGCGATAATTTGTAGATGATGCAGAAGAGGGAACATTAAACTCTTCACATTCTGTTTCTGCCATGCAAAGTGAATAAAATGCAACCGCACAGGAAAGACCATGGAAATGAGACTTGATTTTGTTAACCAACTATTTGCAGCTTAAATGCTATTTTGTTTTTCTTTAGGATTTCCTGCAGGAATTTACAAACTTGTTTTTTATATATATATAACATTAAGAGAAGATAACTAAGAAAATGCCTCCACGGCCATCATCTGGAGAATTGTGGGGCATCCACTTAATGCCACCAAGAATCTTAGTGGAATGTCTTCTACCTAATGGTATGATAGTGACTTTAGAATGCCTCCGTGAGGCCACACTGTTAAATATTAAACATGAACTCTTTAAAGAAGCTAGAAAATACCCTCTCTATCAGCTCCTTCAAGATGAGTCATCTTACATTTTCGTAAGTGTTACACAAGAAGCCGAAAGAGAAGAATTTTTTGATGAAACACGGAGATTGTGTGACTTGCGGCTCTTCCAGCCTTTCCTAAAAGTCATAGAGCCAGTAGGCAACAGAGAAGAGAAGATTCTTAATCGAGAAATTGGTGAGACTTGCAGTGTTCATTTATTACCAGTACTGATAAGCATGTTAGTACAAAGATGTTCAGAATGCTATGTAATTGAACATAAGTTATTTACAGCTTTCTCCCTCCAGAATGAAGACCTGCTAGCCAGATTCATATTGGTGTTCCATAAGGTTTGTGTAACTTGTTATGGCTAATGGTGGCTAACATGCCCAGCACATGACTTGCTCATGTACATTGTCATATACCCAGTGGCACAACTTGGATGTGTCTCATCACCTCACCAATTAGCCATAATTAGTTGTGGCAAGTTTTGTTAATTTTACATGAATACCAATATATATCCATGGGATTTTTGTAAAAAAAAAAATTAAAAAATTCCACTTCAGCTACCACAAGTCACCAGAAACCTTCCCCCAGCCAGAATTCTGGCAGCTGTAGCCAAAAAATCCAAGTCCTAAGAGGAGATCAGCACATACACTAGTGGCCCAACATATTCTTCTCTACAGCCATTGCGGAGGGAGAGTGGGTATGACTTGCTAAGCTCCGTGGGAACTCTAAGTGATTGTCTTTTTTTTTTTTACAACCACCATGTACAGAGACAGACGAGTAGAGAAACTACCAGTCTCCCAATCCCTTGCACTTCCAATGGAGTTCAGCAATTCCTGGTGAATTATGGTAGATGTGGTGAAAAAAATCCCAAAATTCCCTGCCTACAAATCATGTGCCAATAAATACCCCTCCCCTTCCCAGACACATTGCACAGGGTGGCAGAGTATAGAATTGTTTGGTTTGGTTTGTTCTGGCTAGCTGTGTTTTGTTAGCTGAAATCCTGTTGCTTAACGTTGTAAGTCACATTAGAGTACGTCCATTAAGTTAGTGGGGATTTGGGGAGTCAACTTTTTCATAAGGTCCATTGATTCAAATTAGCCCATTTTAGCATAGTAAGTCAGAACTAAAGTAGATCCATTTGAATAAATAGAACTTACAGAGAGGTTGGTTCACCAAATCTCTGCTGATTCAGTGGGACTAATCTAGTGTGACTTAACTACATTAAGCAACAGGATTTTAGCCATTATGTTATCTGGATTGTCAGAAGAGCAGTTCCTGTTAACTGTGATTCATTTCAAACAAGGCAACTTAAAGGATGGTTTCTGAAGTTGGCCAGTTAAAATTATATGTAGTTAGCATTAACTGTAATTCTGGAACCAGGCAACAACAAAATGTAGCTAGCCAAATGTTAAAGCTTCTAAACTTCACTACAATTGAGGAAGGGAGAATATTCAGGCCCAGAGTTTACCCTGACTCCTTGTATGAATGTGTTATATTAAAATGTGTTATAGCATAATATATAAACATGTCCATTATGTTGAAAATAGCATGCTGTTGCATGAAGACATACTCATTGACGGGTGCTTTTTGTTTGTTTGTTTGTTTTGGTTCATTTGAAAACATACCATAATTCTGCTATCGGGTAAAATTAAGGTATCTTTTCAAATAAAAAATACACATGGATACACAGTGTGATGTAGTAGATAGAGTGACAGAGTAGGACTCAGGAAGCTTGGCTTCAAATCCCCACTCAGCCATGGAAACTCACTGGGAGAGTGGGACTGTGTTCTGTCAAGTTATTCCTGATGTATGCCAGCCCTTTTCAGGGTTTTTTTAGGTAGAGAATACTCAGAAGTGATTTACCATTCCCTTCTTCTTGGGGCATCCTGGGACTGTGCAGCTTGCCATAGTTTACACTGGCTGGCTTTTCTCTAATGAATCCCAGTGGGGAATTGAACTCCCAACTTCTGATTACACAGCCAGATTCCTAAATCACTGAGCTATCTAGCCATCTGGAACTGGTAAAAACCACTCCTTAAATATCTCACGTACCTTGAGCCGTATTAGTGTTTTTATAAGTCACTTCTGATTTGATAGCACATGACAACAACGAACCATACACATAAAGTTTGATCATATCTGGAGTTGCAGATGAGCACGCAATTTCCATACATTTCAGAGCAGTCCAGTGATAAAGCTGTTCAAAAATCTCATAATTTGTAATCTAGCACTAATAGGATATAAAATGCCTAAACATATATTGTGTGTACTACTTGAGTATATTGGGATATTCTGTCCTTATTTCTGATGTTCCTATCTCATAAGTGTTTAATAATAGAATTTTAATAATAATAGTTGTTAATATACTTTTTGCTAAAAAAATCTATATTTCGATTTCCATGTATAAGTATTTGCCATGTTGAATCTCTTTCTCTTCTGTGTGATGAAGTGGACTTGTTCACAAAAGCTCACATTAAAAAAATATAAAAATTAGTCTTTAAGGTGCCACTGCGTTTTTGTCTTTTTTTTACTTTTTAATTTCTGTTTTGCTTTTATTTAAAAAAAATATTGTCACCATGTTTAGATTGGCCTTATAGACTCTAGAATGTTGCTGTTGTATAAATGGAACAGGCACATGGAACCTGTTTTTTAAAAAGTCAAAAATGAGAAGGACAAGGAAAATGGTTATGCCACTCTTCACAAATGTGCACAACCAGTTACACTATATGGCCTCACGGAGCTAACATGCAGCTCTTCTGTCTGAGCTGAAGGTACCAGATATAAATAAGCACCTGAATCTCTCTGGCCCAGAACGACTACAGAGCGTTCCTCAAGATCACTTTCTCTGAGCAAAGTTCACTGCTATCACTCCTCAGAGTTAGCCTTTGTGGGCTGGAAGCAGACATCATGCTATACAACCTATTAGAAGCTGAACTTTCATAGAAAGTTTGCATTCATTTTTGGCCCTCAGTTCATGGCAGAACGCCTGTACGCAACAGGGACTGCCCATCCCACATGCATTTCACAGGCTGACAAGCTGAGGGTACTGATCCCAAGGGAGACTCAGAAAGACAGAACAAGAAAACAAGCCTTCTCTGTGGTCGCTCCCTGCCTTTCGAATAATTTACCATCTGAAATCCGCCTTGTCCCCTCCCTGATGTCCTTTAAAAACTCTTTAAAACATTATTATTTTGCTAGGCCTTTCAGAATGTGCCAAATTAATCCTGATTTGGATAACTGACACCCCCCTCGAGTCCCACAAATATAGGCCTCCCAGGCAAAGAGAACAGATTCTATGATTCATCATAGCTGACATCCCAGTAAAGGGTTAATATCCTAATGAAACCAAATAATCAGTCACAATAGCATCTCCAAATTCATCTGGGTATCTCATTATCGGTGACTTCATTGTTACAGTAATTCCAGGCCACTCCAGAACTTGTTAATTCTATAAAAATTCAATTTATTTACATTATTTCTAGGTTCCATGCTTAAAGTAGTAAATTAAAGAGGAAAGAACTGTAAGCACATATGCTTAAATCCAAAAGTCATACAGACATGCAAAATAGTAAGCATAAAATACTGTAGGCTTATTTAAAATACATCCGTGCAACTTGTAAAAAAAGATATAAGTATTGAAACTTAGGTTCTAGGCATAATTTAAGCCACGTATGAATCAAATTATAACATTATTAAAACACAGGAGCTCATTGCCTATAAAGGCAGAGAATGCATCTCTAAAACACCTCAGAGTTCTTAAGAATAAAATCATAGAAAGCAAAAAGCCTTATAGTATTCAGTGATAGGCATGAAGAAGGGTTTACACTTTTAAAAGTAGAAATATACAAAATCAAAAGCATTACTCAACTCTAAGCATGTTATTAACAGAGAAAAATATTTTTCTCACCAAACCTTTAGCTATATTATTCCCATGACTATCTCCTGGCCACTTTCAATCCTTTTGTGTCTTCTGTTTCCCACTCCAAGCAGAGATTTCTCCCCCTTGTTTGCAAAAGCAAGGCTTCTGTATCCTTTGAGATGTGCTTAAACATGATAGAAATCTTGTTAATATACCTTTTGATGTTACACTTAGTCAAAACATTCTGACATGGGACTTTAGCTTTCCTGTGGATAAGTGATGCCCTGATGGAACAATCTGCTATCTAAGCCAGTGGTTCTTAACCTTGGGTTAATCAGGTGTTTTTGAACTTCAACTCCCAGAAACCCCAGCCAGCACAGCTGGTGGTGAAGGCTTCTGGGAGTTGCAGTCCAAAAACACCTGAGTAACCCAAGGTTAAGAACCACTGATCTAAGCGATGAGCTGGGGTGGTGATCAGCTAGGTTAACTGGGTTCTATAGTAGCCCCCTCTTCTGGAGTACAGTGTGCTAGGTGGTGTAATTTCCTAACACCATATTTGGACAATATAATACATTTTGAATGTCTCTTACAATTTTCATGTTATAAAATGTTTGCCACTTAAGTTTCTTCTTCCTCTGCCATATATTTTTATCAAAGCGTATAATTGACAATGTCTTGTTTTATTATTTAATTTAACTTGTTATTTATTTTATGTTTTCACTGATTATGTAAAATTTGTTGTTATGCTCTTATTATTCATGTTAACTGTGCAGAGTAACCACTGGGCTAGATGGGCAGAATAAAAATCAAATAAATAAATAACAAATATATCCAGTTTGCACGTGTGGGAATGGAATCTCTTTCTCAGGGTTTGTACTGTTTCACTATATATCGAACATTACTGTGCTCTCTCACTCTCTAACTCTGTCCCCCACTTTTCTTTTGTTAGGTTTTGCTATTGGCATGCCTGTCTGTGAATTTGACTTGGTTAAGGATCCAGAAGTTCAGGACTTCAGAAGAAACATTCTCAATGTTTGTAAAGAAGCAGTGGATCTGCGAGATGCTAATGCACCCCATAGTAGAGCATTGTATGTGTGTCCCCCAAACATAGAATCTTCGCCTGAGTTGCCCAAGCATATATATAATAAACTTGATAAAGGTAAAAGGAAAAAGGGGGTGCTGAAGTAGTTCAGTGAATTTGACAGTGGGAACCTGGAAGAATAGTGAAATGTGACCATTTTAACAGGCCTTGTTAGACACACTTCCCTTAAGTCAAGGTGGTATCCTCAGCATAGATTTTTTTTAAAAGCCAGGTCATACTTTGTTTTGATGTAAGTTTTTATTTCCTAATTAAGCAACATTACAATATTTTATTCCCAGATATATCATTATTATAGCTACATAATCAATTACAATTGCAGCACTCTTATTCAAGTGTTCTGGAATAAATTAGAATCCAGAATTGGAATTGGGATAGATGCCAAGACAATTTAAAATCACATTTGTATTTATTATATAGGTATTAGTAGCTGCGTCAGCCATGGGCAGGTTCAATCTTGTTTTCATTTCACACTATTTTAAAACCTAATCTGGTGGAGAAATACAGCTGAATCCATAGCTTGTCACATCTGCTTTAAGGCACACATCCTGTGTAGAATTATGTTTGGGATCTGTTAATTTTCATTTCTCTCAGGAAACGGAGGGGCAAGTAGGGGCCGGATGTTCTCTTTTCTGCCTTTGGTTGTTTTATTCTGCAACCTGACCTACTTTCCTTCTGTTCTAGGACAAATAATAGTGGTGATATGGGTTATAGTCTCCCCCAACAATGACAAGCAGAAGTATACCTTAAAAATCAATCATGATTATGTGCCAGAGCAAGTGATTGCGGAAGCAATTAGGAAGAAAACACGAAGTATGTTGTTGTCATCGGAGCAACTAAAACTCTGCGTATTGGAGTACCAGGGGAAGTATATTCTAAAAGTCTGCGGTTGTGATGAATATTTGCTAGAAAAACATCCCCTGAGTCAGTATAAGGTGAGTAAATATATTTTGTAATGTCATGCTGCTTCCTATTTTGGAAGGTAATGCTGTTGTGAGAGTCATTTAGCGTTTTGAGTATAAAGAAGGAAATGGATAAATTAGAGTGTGAAAGAGGAAGTAGTAAAGCCAGCTGGCAATTTTTATATGCAAAAGAAAAAAAGCAAAGACAGACAGGCATTTGGCACAGTTTACTAGGAAGTGTTAAAGTTTTTGGTACTTTTGCTATGGTCTGCATAATGATGGCTGGCAAGCTGTGCATTTAATTATATCGTTTTCCATTTCAGACAGGTCAGTCAGTTTCTGTAACTACTGAGGTGTATTCAAGTGCTTGTAAGGAGTAGAGTTTTAGATAACTTGTGTAAGGCATTCAGAATAGAGCTGAGCTTCTGCAGAATCTCAGATGAATTGGGCCAAATCTGAGGGACAGAAGCCCTTCTAGTAGTGCTAGGAATGTACTACGGGACATGATCCCCGTGCTCTAGTGCTCCTCTGTAGCACTGTACCAACCCCAAAAATTTTTTTCATGTTTTTTATTCATTTTTGGTAGGAGTAGGGGTTGGGGTGTGGATACAGGGAATAAAGAAGGGATTATTAAGGATGGGGAAACGATAAAATTCCAGAGAGCAAAAGAGTATTCTTACATTCACATACTGTACAGTATTTAGTTATGCTAAAAAGGGAAATCACATAAGTAAACAATCTAACATTTTTTCCAGAATATCATTACTACTCTCTCCATTCCTTTCAACCTTCTCATACTTTTTTTATCTATACTTTCCAGTCATATTTTGGATCCAGTTATAAAACTGTCCCCATTTTTGAGTCCTTTTTGAGATTACCTTTCACTTTGCTTCTGTTAGTAAATCCATCTCCGCCACTTCCAGTATCTTTTCTATCCGTTCCTCAAGAGATGATACCTCTTCTTTCTTCCAATATTTTCCATATAATATCCTCGCTGCCGTAATTACATGTATTATTAAATATCTCATTTCTTTATCTACAATTTCAGTCATAATATTCAATAGAAATAATTCTGGTTTAAATGGTATCACATAAGAGGACTTTTTGTAACATTTCATGTATTGATCTCCAATAATATTTTGCTTCCCTGCATATCCAGAAAGTACCCTCCTGCATTTTTCATTTCCAACATTTGTTAGAGGTATTTTTGTACATTTTAGACGATCTAGTTGGAGTCATGTGCCATCTATAAAAATATATTTTTTCTTTAAAATTTACTGACTTTGTAAGTTTAATATTATTCTGCCAAATTTGTGCCCAGTGTTCTAAGTCAATATTAGGAATAACATTTTGTGCCCATTTTATCATACAGACTTTCACCACTTCATCTTCCATTTTCATATTTAAGAGATATTCATATATTCTTTTATTTTATCATTTGCCTCTAACAGTAGTTTATCAAATGTTATTTGTTCTTCATAAAAACCCATTATTTTATCTTTTGCATACCTGGAGGCCAATTGTAGTCTCGTCCACCAATCTAAAAAAAAAAAATTCTGCTCCTCTAACTCCTCTCTAGTCTTTAACACCCCCTCTTTCTTAAGCAAGTCCCTGTATCAGTTCTTTATTTACAGTCCTTAGACCTATCATGCAGAGAAATGGACAACCCAGTCTCTGGAATACATAAAAACATCAAACATAGAAATAAAACAAACAATTATACAATCAATTCAAAACCTCCATACTAATACCAAAGTCAAGTATGAGGAAATTTCTGAAACTTGAGAATCGCCAGACAGAACCCAGCTATCCCTGTCTGAGAGGAGATACTCAAGTCTAGTTTTCTCTGATTGGCCAGGGATGTTTTCAATCAATGGGGTAATAATCTGATTTTGTGCTACTGCATAATGCAGGCAGCAGAAAAATGTGCTCCATGGACTTGACCTCACCAAAGAAGCAGAAACATAGCCTCTCAGCAAGTGGGACATTCCTATACTTCCCTTCAAGTATAGCGGAGGGGAGGGCAGCACACCTTGCCAGAGTAAAAGTTGTCCTAAACCCTTTTGCTTCCAGTGATGTTAGATAATTAGCTGGTTCTATAACATTTTTAATATAGGCCCTTGCCATAGTGTTTTGTAGGCTGGAAAGATCCGATTGGTGTTCAATATCCTCAGTTCTCTGTTTAACATGTTTTTTATTTTGTCTGGTCTAATCCATATAATAAAAGGGCATAGAGCTGGACACCAATATAGCTCTGAACAGATATGTCCTAGTTCAATTGTAAGTTATCAGTGAATATCAGGGGAAGCAGCCCTTGTGGGATAAGATAGTCCTTTAACCAAGTGTTTATACCTTTAGACATCCTGTCTCCAGTCTTCTTCTGGCATTTGAGACACATCTGGGGACCTGTAAAACGGTTCTTAAAAATTTGGATTGTTCCCTTTCCTGAGGTGCAAAATGTGTGCTGACTGGCCCTAGGAGTGACCCATATAACAGTTGAGATAATATCTTGGCCTTATAGAGTTTTAGTGTTGCTGGAACAAACGCACCCCCTTAAGAGTAGTGAAATTTTACTATGCTCTTTGCTGACCTTTCTCCTTGGTCTGGAGCATATACGCTGTATTGAAATCTAGCGCCCAAAGCTTGTAGAACTACCCCAAGATATTTAAAGGTTTTTACATGCTCAGTGTGCTACACTCAATATGCCAGCGAGTTTGGAAAACTCAATAGTAGCCAAAGGACTGGAAAAGATGAGTCTACATCCCAATCCCAAAGAAGGGCAGTGCCAAAGAATGCTACAACTACCGTACAATTGCACTCATTTTACACGCTAGCAAGGTTATGCTCAAAATCCTGCAAGGTAGGCTTCAGCAGTATATGGACCGAGAACTTCCAGAAGTACAAGCTGGATTTTGAAGGGGCAGAGGAACTAGAGACCAAGCCGGAGAATTCCAGAAAGACATCTACTTCTGCTTCATTGACTATGCAAAAGCCTTTGACTGTGTGGACCTCAGCAAACTATGGCAAATCCTTAAAGAAATGGGAGTGCTGACCACCTTATCTATCTTCTGAGAAACCTATTCGTGGGACAGGAAGCAACAGTTAGAACTGGATATGGAACAACTGACTGGTTCAAAATTGGGAAAGGAGTACAACAAAGCTGTATATCGTCCCCCGGCTTATTTAACTTATATGCAGAATACATCATGCGAAAGGCCGGACTGGAGGAATCCCAAGCCAGAATTAAGATTGCTGGAAGACATATCAACAACCTCCAATATGCAGATGATACCACTCTGATGGCAGAAAGTGAGGAGGAATTAAAGAACCTCATAATGAGGGTGAAAGAGGAGAGTGCAAAAAATGGTCTGAAAGCTTCCTCCTTTCTCTTTCTCCCAATCAAGCCTTCAAGCAGAGGTGGGGGAGGCTCGCTCTACTGCATCTCACCAGGTATAGGTCTAATGGCTTTCACTTTCTCTGACATCCACTCTCTTCTGTATCATTATTTAGGTCCTTAAAGCTTCCATATACGAAACAAACATCTGAACTTACTTAGACTTCTGGTCAGCAATATTTTCCAAAATCCTTCTATAATCCTCCACTCTCTGCAAGGGGCGTTCCCAGCTATTTACCCCGAATGGCTCCCTCCTCGGTCCATGCATTCAGATTTCAAAGAGAAGAAAAACAGGCTTCCACCAATTCTTCTTCCCCTTTGGTCACCACTTATCCTAATGTCAGTTCTTTCCCCTCCAAATCTGGGGGGTCCCAAATCGAAGGGTCGCAGTCCATTTCAAGAGCTTTCCTGAAACCAGACCGGTCTGGCCGCAGTGAAGCCCCACTTCTCCATACTAACCCAAAATATTAATGTCACATTAAGGATATGGCCAATATTGGTCCAAAGGCCTTCAGTGGTAATTTACTAGAATGATGAGGATTTAAGACTGTAATACAAAGTAAAGTGAATCACTGAACACAGTGGACTTAGAGCCTGTGAGGAAGAGACCGTGAATCTGAAGCTGTTGTTCATAATTAGATCTTGCTTTTACAGAAGAAATGAAATGTTTGTGCTAAGGTGCTGCATGTCGGTTTACAAGAGTTTTCTGAAATAAGGTTTTGAGGCAATGTCTTTATACTGCTGAGTAGAGTTCATGCAGAACTACGAGCAGTACGAGATGTACATGCAGAAGTTTGTAGCAGCTTCACTGCCAAAAAATTCCATCGTAACTTCTTCCTCCCCTTGACACTCTCCCCATCCCACTTTCTTTCTTTGTCTGCCTAAAGAAGGAACAGGGAATGTGAATAGCTTGTTGTTAATAAGGAAACCATTTGTGTGAATATTTTCCTTACATGCTAAGTTACAGTACAAAAAAAAAAACAGTCTTGAGGCTTCTATGGTATTCTTTAGAGTACCTTAAAATAAGCTGCCGTGACTGCAAAATTTGCAGGCTGCTTTGATCAGAAGTTTAGGCTATGATGTATACTTGGGCCTGAGTGTCAAAATACTAACAATGATGGCATTGCTATTATTGCAGTTAACAGCCAGTACATTAATTGTTTTTCCCACACCTATTTCAGTACATCCGGAGCTGTATCATGCTTGGTCGAATGCCCAACTTGATGCTGATGACTAAGGAAAGCCTTTATGAGCAGCTACCACTGGATACCTTCACAATGCCATCTTATTCTAGACGTATTTCTACAGCTACACCATATATGAATGGAGAAGCTTCTGTTAAATCCCTCTGGCAGATTAACAGCAATCTCAGAATAAAGATACTCTGTGCAACCTATGTAAATGTAAATATTCGAGATATTGACAAGGTAAAAAAATGCTTTTCAAGATACGACTTGAGCATGTGCACATGATGCTAATGAATGAGTCTTAAATATGCTGTGATTTCAGAATTTCTGCATTGCAAGCTGGGGCCCCATAATCTTGAACAGTATCTGGCTATGCTCTGGGCATGACAGTCTGGTCAAAAAGCCTGCCCCCCCCCAAAATGAATTTGGCCCACAAGTTTTTGACATCAGAGAAAGAAGCATGTATATGTGGTAGTGGTTCAAGGCCACAATATGGAGTGCCACGCACTGGTTGTTACCTGTTTAGAGAATACCCTTCTTTGACAGAGTCTCTAAAGAGTAAGCATATTTCAGACCTGTTACGTCTTTTGAGCTGGCTTTCAGTGGATAGCATTAATCTTTTAGTAGGTGTTATAAGCCAGAAAAATAAGAATAGGCATTTTTTTGCATTTTATTACTTGCTCTTAGCAGTCAAATGTATTCAGCTGCAAAGAACAATGGGATTCTTCTTTTCTTTTCCTGAGTATTTTTGCTGTAAATTTCAACAGTGCTATTATCAGTTCTTTCATGTAGGCTAAAGTCTACATGAAAGTAGACATAGTCTAGAGGGGCGGGGTAAAATCTAATGAATGAATGAATGAATGAATGAATGAATTTTCCTTATTGAGACTTCCATGCATTTGGAGCAAAACTGCAGTAAAAAACCTCATTGGAGTCTCTGTTAGACATGGTAATAAATTATGTCCTGGTGCTTGTGAAATTGCTACTTAACTTGGAACTCCTGTTTTAACTTCTAATATAGTTATGGTTATAAATGTACTGTTTTCAGATCTATGTTCGAACTGGTATCTACCATGGGGGAGAACCATTATGTGATAATGTGAATACTCAGAGAGTTCCTTGTTCCAACCCCAGGTAAGGAGCAGCAGCCCAAACTTTAGAGCAAACCATGTTTGAAACAGTCATGTTGTGGGATAGACTCACACAATTTAAGATCATTTGATATTTATTATAAAGCCCGCTCTGATTCAACATTGAACTTTTTTTAGATGATAACATTAAAGTAATGAAATTTTCCTTGTGAATTGGTAGCTGAAAAAAAAAACTAGATATTTTGTCTTAGGTCATCTTCCCCTGCTCTCATGTTTAGTAAAGAATTGGCTATCAAATAATATAATAGTTGGATAGCTACCCTGAAGATCATTCTTTGATTTAAAGGCCAACAAATAAAAATGTAATTTTTAAAAGACTATTTAAATGCTACTTGTTGAACATGCCATTGTAATGAAGTACAAATCTATTGCAGTAATTGTCTCTTCTCCAGAAACCTGGTTAGAAACCTAGAAATAGTTTTAATTAATACAGTGGAGCCTCGACTTACAGACGTGCCTACCTATGAAAATTTTGAGTTACGAAAAGCTCAGGCTCAATTTTGCTTTGACTTTTGGCCAGAACTTCCACTTACAAAAAGAAACAGGCAGGGGAAAGGGGCGAGAAATTCAAACCGTTGGTGGCGAAGAGGCTGCTTCTTTGCCCTAACGGTTAGGAAAAGGGAAGCTCAGCCTCCCAAGCTTCCAACAGCACCCTGACTGCCGTGCAGAGTGCGGGTGCTTTGGAAGCCTGGGAAGCTGGCACCTAGCAAGGAGGTTGGGGCAGCTTTCGGCTTCCCAGGCTTCTAAAGCCACCCCCGCTGCCCTCTGCCTCCTATCCCCGCTGTCTCCACCGCTGCAGGAGGCGAGCCATCAGACCATGCCGGTTGGGCTCTGCCTCTCATCCCTGCTGCCTCCTGCAGCGGAGGCAGCGGGGATGGGAGGCATGCCCCAGACAGCATGGTTCGCCGACTGGCCTCCCGGCGGCGGTGGAGGCAGCAGGGTAAGGTGTTGCTTTTTGCTTTTTAAAAACAGTTAAGTTTTTACGGTACAGTATTTTATTTTATTTTATTTTTTGGTATTTTTTTCTTCGGCCAGAATGCATTAATCGGTTTTCAATGCATTTCTATGGGAAATGGTGCTTTGATTTATGAAAATTTGGATTTACAGCCACCATTTCAATACGGATTAATTTCGTAAATCAAGGCACCACTATATTAAAAAACAGAAAACACCAGGATTTGTTCTGAATTAGAAAATACTCTTGATGATAGCAGATTTAAACTGTGGAGCAAGCATCAAGTGTATTTTGTATTCAGAGTGTGTAAAGCCAGTGGGGAAAGCTGTCACTAACAAAACTGTCAAATATTTGACAACCGTAAAAGCTTTTCTGCAGTCAGACAGTGAACCTTATCTTCACAGATGGCAGTGTGGAGACTGTGGGTGGCGAGGAGGTAGACAGAGATCCTAGTTTTATTTCAAATCACACCCAGATAGTTGTCCCACTTTACATATGTAAACATAAGATTAAAAAAGGCCAGCAAGGTCAGATTAAAGTCCCTTCTAGTCTAGTTTTTGGTTGCTTAGAAGAGTCAGACTTATGTTTCTGGAAAGTTCAGAAGCAGAATCTAAAAGCAGTAGATCCCATTCAGCTGCTATTAAGCAGCTGATATTTAAGTGTATATAATATCAGTAATCTAAAGATTCTATTTAGTTCTCAAGACTACTAATGCACCTTGCTTTAACTCATCTGACTAACCATCTTTTAATGTTTTCTAAGATAATTGGGAGGTGTTTTTTTTTTTTTTTGGCACTGTGCCCATATTAGGATGATCCTTCAGGAGATATAACATGGCCTCTAGCAGCACTCTCTTGCATGTGGTACAAATACTCTACACTCAGCTATTTATTCTGAATCCTTAGGTCTACAAGTCTGCTGTGTGTAATAGCTTTTCCTGTTAGGCACAGATAAGGAAATAGTGATCTACTAATCTCCAAACTCATTTTTTTTTATAATGGGATGGAAGATCCTGGCCAGAATTGCCACTGCTGCATTCAAAATAAAAGGTTCCTTGAGGGAGCCCAATCTTCTATTTAGTCTACCATTGTAGTGGGTGGGAAGAAACATAAGCACTGCCTTATTAGATTGTGCCAAGAGTCTGAACATGACCTTAAACCAGGAGTAAAATGTGGCCCTCCATATGTTGCTAGACTGTACAGTACCTCCTAGCACTCCTTATGAGTGGCTATGCTGTCTGGGGTAAGATCCACATCTGGAGGGCCACACTTTGCCTATCCTGTCTTAGAGTAAATAGTCCATTACAGTGTCTGAGAGGCTTTTGTTAAGATAACAGAGTAAATCCACTTGTTAGTCCCAGACTGAGTATACCTGTTTAAAGAATGGGATTTAGCATAATACTAGAGTGGGTCCCATGGGTCATCTTTAGCTGGGACTGAAAAATGGGACTTAAACCAAATGTTATATGCTAGTATGTTTTGCATTATTGCTTTTCTCCTTGAATTAACTGGTGTTTGGATTTTTGGATTATGTCTGTACTGAATTCCATTTTGATATATCATTATTCAAGAAGTAATGCAGTACTGAAACAAGAACATAATACTGAAGAAGTAGTTTAAACTACAGACTTCATCCCTTACTCAAAATTGTTTTAATAATTTTGAACGTATCCTATTATATTAAAGGCATTTTAACATGACCTTTTATTAAATTCTGGGGTAAACCTATTACTGTATCTCTTCCAGGTGGAATGAATGGCTGCAGTATGAGATGCATGTTCTTGATCTTCCACGGGCTGCTCGGCTTTGCCTTTCAATCTGCTCTGTTAAAGGCAGAAAGGGTGCAAAGGAGGTAGGGTTTCTGTTACTAGCTTACAAATGTTTGAAAGAGAGCAGATACTTTGAAATTATTCTTCAGTCTTATACTGTGTTGCTTTCTAAGCTGTTAGGAACAGTTACAATGTGCTTTGTGATTTTATTGAAATTTCCCATTTCACTTTAAATTCCATTGAATCTGAGCTTGCACCATACAGTGTGTTACTAACAGCTGAGACTAAACAGTGATTATTTGCTCTTTTTAAGGAGCACTGCCCATTGGCGTGGGGGAATATTAACATGTTTGATTACACAGACACTCTTGTTTCTGGCAAAATGGCTCTGAATCTGTGGCCTGTACCTCATGGGTTGGAAGACCTGCTAAATGCTATTGGTGTCACTGGATCAAATCCAAATAAGGTACGTAGATTATGATTATGCTGATGGAAAAAGAAGTAAATAATTGATATGATGCCAGTTTCCTGGAGTATTTACAACCAGTTTGGCTGAGTTAAATGTGGGGATGGGGAAGAGGATGCCAAGTGAATCCTTGTTGTTCCTTCAGCATGAATATAGTCATAGGGTCAGTCTTTAAGGATCAGCTATGCCATAGCAATTACTACTGCCTATTAAATTCCATCTAATATATGTAGAATGATGTTCTGTAATTATCAGTGTACCTAATCATAGCCACACAAACTTTTGTCTCCCAGGAAACTCCATGTTTGGAGCTGGAATTCGATTGGTTTAGCAGCCCTGTCAAGTTTCCTGATATGTCAGTGATTGAAGACCATGCGAATCGGACTATATCTCGAGAACTAGGATTTAACTATGGTCATGCAGGGCTGGTAAGGAAATTTGTCTCTTGATTATGTTGTAGGGAAGCACAGAACTTACGTGCCAGTGGACATTTTACTTTCACGATGAGTAACCTAATAAATTTCTGGGTGACATAATATTCTGACATATACATATATGTCAGAGATAATTATTTTTTCTTTACTATACTGTAAATGACTGTTTTTTGGGCTACTGAGAAAAAGAATATTAGCTTGTAGAAAGTTTATTAAGGTACAATAGAAATGTAGCAGTGATAGTATGAACACATTACTATAACCTGATGTGCAGCAATAGAGGAGCATAGGATAGTTGAAGGGTTCTTCAGTGAAGTGGTGCCAAGGACTTCTTTTGGCCATTGTGAAGCGGGTGGAAGTATGGATCTTAGAAGTGACTGCCCACCGGATGTCACTACCATCCTATGTCACCAAAACACACACACAATAAATAATAAAGTAGGAAAAGTAAGGGAAAACTGTGCTCTGCCTGCCTTGCACAGGATACTTCTGTATCTCTTGCAAACAGGCTAAGTTGCCAATTAGTTTCTCTAGTAATGCATTATACCTTTGTGTATCTCTATGATCTGCACCTATCAGTAACACTATTTCTTTAGACCAACTTGCATTTGTGGACTCAAAGTGTTGGAAGGGCTCAAAGGTTGTCTGTCTAAATCTGCTGCTGCATCATCCTTTATAGGTAGCCGTCCAGTCAAGGGATGGAATGGAATTGCTCTCAATTCATATGCTGATGAGAATATATCTATATTGATCTATCTATAGATACAGATTGATCTGTATCTAAAGGGACGTGGTGGCGCTGTGGGCTAAACCGCAGAAGCCTGTGCTGCAGGGTCAGAAGACCAGCAGTCGTAAGATCGAATCCACGCGACGGAGTGAGCGCCCGTTGCTTGTCCCAGCTCCCGCCAACTTGGCGGTTTGAAAGCATGCAAATGCAAGTAGATAAATAGGGACCACCTTGGTGGGAAGGTAACAGCGTTCCATGTCTAAGTCGCACTGGCCATGTGACCACGGAAGATTATCTTCGGACAAAACGCTGGCTCTATGGCTTGGAAATGGGGATGAGCACCGCCCCCTAGAGTCGAACACGACTGGACAAAAATTGTCAAGGGGAACCTTTACCTTTATAGATACAGATATAGATACATTTTCACTTCTTATCATTTGAGTGTAGTTCTCCAGATAAAGAATGCGTACAAAAAGTATTTGCTCCAGTATAAAATAATTTGACTAGAACATTAAGTACCATTGCAGATGTGGTAAATTTGATGTGAGATTATTCATATCATCTGGGGCTGTTCAAGTGTACAGGCACACAGGAATCATGTTTTTTGAGGGGAGATGAATAAAATGAATGATGAAGATTCACTTTGAATATATATACTTCAGTAAATGTGTTTAATCCAGAAATTATTAGGCATAGATTAAAAAGAGTTCCAAGAATATGTGAGGGACCTTCTTCCATTCAGTCACTCAGGATATAATATGCCTTCCATGTAAAGATGAAATGCCCTATTTAGAATGGCTAAGTATTCCTAAATAAAACATGGATTTTGCCTTGGCAAGTTATAACGTTCTTCACATTAATTTATTTGAGGCAGATACATTTGATAAATACAAGATGCTGCCCCATAATAGTGTTGGGATGAAGTCTGTTTTGCATGCCCTTTTCCAGCAGCTTTTACCAAGGGACTAGAAAAGATCTGTTCTATGATTCAGTCCCTTCCTGATGGCCCTTCTGAGTCTTTTGTGATTATTGGTTGCTGTGGTTTTTTCGGGCTCTTTGGCCGTGTTCTGAAGGTTGTTCTTCCTAATGTTTCGCCAGTCTCTGTGGCCGGCATCTTCAGAGGACAGCACTCTGTGCTCTGGTGTGACACCAGAGCATAGAGTGCTGACCTCGGAAGATGCCGACCACAGAGACTGGCAAAACGTTAGGAAGAACAACCTTCAGAACTCGGCCAAAGAACCTGAAAAACCAACAACAACCATTGGATCCCAGCCGTAAAAGCCTTCGTGAATACTTTTGTGATTACTTTGCTTCAGAGCTCTAACAAGTCAGTTACAGAACTAGTGAGGTTTTTGAACATTGCTGTTATCTCTTGATGACATGTGAATGTTTGAATTTTTAAGTACTTTTTATATAACAGTATCTTCAGTGTATCAGTAGCAAAAATTCTATTGCTTAGCTTAAGAAAATTTGTAATTTTCAGTCTTTTTCTAGTTGGCAAATAAAAGTTCCTGCTGTGATTCTCAAGTGAGGATGTGTGTGCACATACTGGCTTGGTAAATGTACATGCATCCCCAAGGATCCTAAGCATGGACTTATAATTTGCAGATTAAGAACAGATGGAGAATTTTAAATATTTTTATGCTAAGCAACAGGACTTCAGCCAACGTGTCCTTTCTTGAATGATATAATACTGTACCCTGTTTCCCCGAAAATAAGACAGGGTCTTATATTAATTTTTGCTCCAGAAACATCAGGGTATGTCTTATTTTTTTTCCACGTACAACAATCTACATTGATTCAAATACGGTCCTGTCATCTTGTTCTGGTTGCTGCACAATGGTGGAGGGCAGGGTTTCACTCAACTGGGGCTTATTTTTCGGGTAGGTCTTATATTACGAGCATCCTGAAAAATCATACTAGGGCTTATTTTCAAGTTAGTTCTTATTTTCGGGGAAACAGGGTAGTCTGTTGGCTGCATATAATGGCAATCATAATGATGGCTGTTTAATAACACTACTGATATTTCAGACATATACCAAATACATGTACTTGCTGATCTGTTGGTGGCTACAAAGACTGGTCTGATAAATACTGAGAATCATTAAATATTCTAAGTACCAAATAATTGGTATTGAAGTATTACAGCTGGGCGGTGTGGTTAATTGCAGGAAATGATGCTTAGAAGAAATGGACTAAGAATTTTTTTCTTTAAACTTTTTTCTTTTCCATTTATTAGACTTTGAAACAACATATTTCTGTTAAAATATGTATATGAGTATATGGGAGTCTGTTATGTATTGCTTTCAAGAGAGTTTATATATATATATTTATTTTGTTAGCAACTAGAATTTTAAAAAATGTGAAACACACATATTATGGGAAAATTCACAGAAATACACAGTCATTCAAAAATGAACACAAAACCATTATAAGAGAAAGCGGCTTGCAAAAAAATTTATACATTTGGCAAAAATGTCTAAAAATGTGCCTATTAGGAGAAATATGCACATAAATACATTGTCATTTTTCTGTAGATTTCTGAAGAAAGTGAGAAACTAAGATTGAAATTGGGTGGACTGAATTAGAAAAATGAGAAACAAGGAAACTGAAATTGATAGGTTTATAATATTTTTCAAGAGCTATTGGAATGGAGTGATGTTGGACCAGATACTATACTCAGGGTGTATAGGCTCAAACCCCAGTTCAGCCATGGAAACTCAGTAGATGGTGGCAATCATTCCTTGAACATTTCACATATCTTGGCAACCTCATTAAGGTTGCATAAGTCCAAAGTGACCTGAAGATGCATAATAATAAACAACATAATATTAATAGCTATATAATGCTCTGGCAATTTCTTTGAAGTCATGATTAGTAACCTGTTCTGAAATCAAATAGAAAACTCCCTGAGTAGCCTAACAGTAGCGATGGATAGTATACTCGATGTATGAGTGACTTGGTATATTCTCCTGTTTTACAGAGCAATAGACTAGCTAGAGATAATGAATTGAGAGAGAGTGACAAAGAGCAGCTCCGTGCAATCTGCACTCGAGACCCCCTCTCTGAAATAACTGAACAAGAAAAGGACTTCCTTTGGAGCCACAGGTATGGCAACTCGAGCTATAGCCTTCTACATGGTAATACTATACAGATAGACTGGCAAAAAGTAGAGCAGATAACCAGAATATAACAAATTCAGTATCATGAGAACTACCTTCTCTAGGAAGCACAGAGAACAAGTTGACCATAGATTTCCCTAAATGCAAATCGTTGCCCCGGACACTTAAATAGGACCGTTTTTAAAATTTATCTTCCATCAAGCTTTTATCTTTGTTGTTGTTACCTGTTAATTCTTAATTTTTTAAAAAAATGCTACTTTCAGCTTAACTATGTTTAGTTTTGATTTTAGTGTTGTGGTTTATTGTTTTTATCTTTGGCTAGGTTTTTCAGTCACTCAAGAGTGGCTTTCTTAGGGAAGGTGACTGGAGTAGAAATCTTAGAATAAATGAATGCATTTATTTAAATGCATATGGTTTGGTTTGATGACCAATAAGCTAAATAACCTTCAATAGTGTGAAAATTACACTATGAATGCCTTTGTTTCTTTTTGCAGGCACTACTGTGTAAATATGCCAGAAATCTTACCAAAGCTACTCTTGTCAGTTAAATGGAATTCCAGGGATGAAGTATCACAGGTAATATTACCCATTACTGAACAAATGTTCAGATAATGTCTCTCTTTATAATTATTGTTTTTAATACGACTGTGGTTTGGATTTTCTTATATTTCATTTCTTCCTAGCTAATTAAAAATACTTGTATAGTATTTTTGTAAATACTATACAGTGGGGTCTTGACTTGAGAACTTAATCCGTATTGGAAGGCGGTTCTCAAGTCAAAAAGTTCTCAAGTCAAATCTGCATTTCCCATAGGAATGCATTGAAAACCATTTGATCCGTATCTGCTCTTTTAGAAACTAATGGGAAGCTGCTATTCCGCCTTCGACCACTAGAGGGGGATATTTTGTTTCTTTTTTTCTTAGGTCAAGAAAGGTTCAGGGAAGGCAGGGAGAATACAGTCCAGGCAGTACCAGGCAGTCTGAAGACTCCCAATCCACTCTCTAAATGCTGGGAGGAGTGAGGAAGTAGACAGGCACCCTTTTCACTGGCCAACAGTTAACTGAAAGTTCAAATTTTGCACTTTCCCTGCCTCCCATGTGGGTTTTTTTCAGTTCTTAACTCAAATCTAAGTACTTTAGTCAAGTCAATATTTTCCTATGAGAGTGGTTCTTAAGTCAAAATGTTCTTAACTCAAGCCGTTCTTAAGTCAAGACCCCACTGTACAAGTTGTATTGTAAGGATAATCTTTTAAGCTCTCCTCAGAACTTCACAGAGATAGTATTACTGGCCACAATTTCTTCTTCATAGGGTCGTGGCCTGTGATTCACATTTTAAAGAACTTCTGGATTTATTTATTTATTTTGTATTTATTTATTGAGCTTCTAGACTGCCTGACTTAGTGAGATACTATTTGGGATAGTTTACATAATTAAGCAAAACATACAAACTAATATATAATAAAAGAATGTGTAGATAATACCACAAATAAATGGTGGGGGGGGGGAAATGAAAGGCAACCAAGGATTGCCACCTGGTGGCTTAAGTGAAGCAAATTATATAAACCATAATATAATAAAACAAAATGTCCAGCAATATATTGAAATAATCAAGAACTGCAATACAATACGGGTCCCCAAAATTAACCTAGGATATTGCCAAAGGCCTCCTCAAATAATTCTTTTTTTACTGGTCTTCAAAAGATCTGTAGGGAGGGGGCCTGCAGGTTACTGCAGGTAAACCCGTGGGTTACTGTTATCCATATTAATTGGATGGAAATTCAGTGTTCAGAGGATGCCAGTTCTCAATGGAGATACTTTACTGAAGGCTAAATGACAAAACCATCATCTCATACCTTACTTTGGAGTTCTCTGCCTGATGTTGGAAAGAGGGCATTGGGCTAGGTAGAATTTGATCTGATTCAGCAGGGCCATACTTATATTTTCATGGCTGTATCAGTGATAGAAATCCATTATTCTCTGCTGCACAGATGTACTGCTTGATAAAAGATTGGCCTTATATCAAGCCTGAACAAGCCATGGAGCTTCTGGACTGCAATTACCCAGATCCAATGGTGCGAGCATTTGCCATCAGATGTCTGGAAAAATATCTGACGGATGACAAACTCTCTCAGTATTTGATTCAATTGGTGCAGGTATTGATTTTTTTTTTTCTGTTATCGGTAACATCTTCATTGTATATGCTAGTGTTTGAAAATTACATATTTAAGCTATATACGCTGAGGAAGAAGGAAAAAAATGGTACACTGATATCTGATTCTGATGACCAAGGTATTCTCAAAAGATTGAAGTTGACCTGTACTGCAGAACACAATAAAGGTAGTAATAAGGACAATCAAAATGCCCCAAAGTCTGAACACGTTTGCATTCTCTAGATCTCTTCATCAGCTTAGCTGTAACAAATAAAAAAATCAGAAATGAAGAAAGAGATGGGGGAATACACCATACAGGCCAAATGTTGTAACCTGAATTCTGTGGTAATATTCAGTCTCAGTTGGAGAGTTCACAGTGTATGAGTCACAAATGTTATATGCAGGTATATTATTATACCTAAAAATGCGTACCAGTGAGAAAGAGTCATGACAGGTCTCTACTTCTATTTGGAAGTTGAGTCAGGGCAACTGGACTTCTTATTAGGTTGAAACGTTTCGCTACTCATCCAAGTAGCTTCTTCAGTCTGAAGAAGAAGAGGAGTAGCGAAACGTTTCAGCCTGATAAGAAAGAAGTCCAGTTGTCATGACTCAACTTTCCAGTTAACCCGGCCTGGACGACAGAGAATCTTTACAGATTTGTCTGTACTAGAGATGGGGGTATTCGTATATGAATGCCCCCGCACAGGTAGACATAACTAGGGTCCCGCCCCCTAGGGCCGGACTGTCTACTCACCTTCCGCTGTCGCCGCAAGATCCGCGATCCTTTCCTATCGCTCCGGAGCTCACGGTCTGCAAGCTGCTCTTCGACTTTGCAGCAAGGCTCATCCTCCCGTTTCCTGCCAGGAGTAGCTTCTGGACCTAGAAGATTAAGAAAGAATTAAGAAAATTGAAAAGAAAGGGGGAAAATCTATTTCTACTTGCTGTGGCTTTCCAATAATTAAGTCTCACTATTCACTCCTAATTGTGTTCATTAAAAACACAGTTTTCTGACTTGGATCGATGTCAGGGTAAGTGCAGATGAAAATGAAGGGAGTGTTACATTTCAGATAGGCTGCGGTTTCATATCTATATACTTAGATGAACAGCCAATCACAAGAGTCTCTTTAGAACCTGTACATGAACAGAGATCTGGAAATAAATTTCATTCCAAGAGTCTTTTTCCACCTCATCCCAAGAGTATAAAAGAATAGTGGCCAAAATTCTATTAACTGTAGTTATGTTCACCAACATAAATTGCAGCAGCAAGGTGAAGTCAGCACTGTATTGCTTGGCACATACCAGTTGTGTAACTTGGCATGTAGTGCGAAGTACAAGCATTGATTTCAGCAGCAGCATTTTAGATCATTTGACTTAATGCCAGCATTCATGAGTAATCCAAAAGTGTAAAGCTAGTAGAGGTTATCAGATTGGGAGTTTGTTAGACGGAAATCATAGCAACAAGGCAGCAACACGATAAAACAAAGTACAGTAGATGAAAAAGTAGCAGTTCATATACTGCATCAATAGTAATAGCTCATTCAACTTTTATTGCTTGGATTTATTTTTCTTTCTAAAAGCCTAGATGCTCCTGAAGGATAGGCTGTGAGGTAGTGATGCGGATCAATCTGGGTGATGTGTAAGAGGCAGTTTTGAAGCTTTGGATCACTATTGTTGACATGAAGTAATGGCAAGACCTTGATGTTTGCTTCAGAAATGTTGCTAAATGCCAGTTACTGTTCATTGCTCTTGTTGCATCTAGGTTCTGAAATATGAGCAGTACTTGGATAATCTACTGGTGAGGTTTTTACTTAAGAAAGCATTGACCAATCAGAGGATAGGGCACTTCTTCTTCTGGCATCTAAAGTAAGTTTATAATTCTACTTCAATCTGCATTCTGTTCTTATAAAGGCATGAAGTCTTAGTTTACACACCTTATATATAAGCAGGTCTTGAAGTATTAATTAACTCTTTTAAGAAGCTCTTATGTTTTAAGTACTTTAAAGTACTTGTTTCACATCACTGGGAATTGCCCTGAATGTTAAGAAATACAGTAGGACCCCTGTATGCATGAGGGATTGGTTCCAAGCCACCACCACCCATGCTGAAAATCACAGATAATAGTGGATGCTGTACATAGAATAGTAAAAGAAAAAAATTCAGAAAAAAGTATTTTCATCATGTATTACTAGCAGTGGCCATGAGAGTGAGCCGGAAAACATTCTTCAACATCAAGAATACATAACATGGTTTCATGCTCCTTCTAGTGGCCAGTTCTGGTAAATACATTATGAAAATACTTATACAGTTGTGCCTCGCTTTACGATTGCTCCATATAACGACGAATCCGCTTAACGTTGCCTTTTTTGCGATCGAAAAAGCGATCGAAAAACGATGCTTCCTATGGGCAAAATCCGCTGTGTGATGATCAGTTCCCTGCTTCGGGAACCGATTTTTCGCATTACGATTATCAGCGAACAGCTGATCGTCGGGTTCCAAAATGGCCAACGGCTGAAGAAAATTCCCCCCCCCCACTGTTTTCTAGGACGGATTCCTGGCTAGACAGGCACCGAAAATGGCCGCCGTATGGAGGATCTTCGCTGGACAGTGAATTTTTAGCCCATTGGAATGCATTAACTGGGTTTTAATATGTTTCAATGGGTTTTTTATTTTCGCTTTACGATGTTTTCACTCTACAGTGATTTCGCTGGAACAAATTAACATTGTTAAGCAAGGCACCACTGTACAGTTGTGCGCTGCTTAACGACTACCCTGCATTATGACGAATCCACTTCACGACAATATTTTTGCGAGCACAATTGCGATCACAAAATGATGTTTTAAATGGGTTTTTTTCGCTTTGCGAAGATCGGTTCCCTGCTCCAGGAACCCATTCTTCACATTACGATGATCAAAACATGTGATCATCAGGTTTTCAAAATGGCCATCGGGTGCTCAAAATGGCTCCCCGCTGTGCTTAGGGACGGATTCCTCGCTATACAGGCACCGACAATGGCCACCATATGGAGGATCTTCACTGGATGGTGCGTTTTTAGCCCATTGGAACGCATTAACTGGGTTTTAATGCATTTCAATGGGGTTTTTATTTTTGCTTTATGACGTTTTCACTCTACAGCAGTTTCGCTGGAACAAATTAACATCGTTAAGCGAGGCACCACTGTAAAATATTTTCAGACTGCAGATCAGTGAAACGGCTGGTGCCAGTCCTGTGGATACCAGGGCCCTACTATATGTTTTCATTGTACCTTCGACTTTTAGCCATTCCAGTGCCTTAATTACTAAGAGCAAAATTGTAATGCAGAATACTGATTTTGGTTTATACTATGATGCTTTAGGCCAGTGGTTCTTAACCTTTGTTACTTGGATGTTTTTGAACTGCAACTCCCAGAAACCCCAGTCAGGACAGCTGGTGGTGAAGGCTTCTGGGAGTTGCAGTCCAAAACTCCTGAGTAACCCAAGGTTAAGAACCATTGCTTTAGGCATTTGTATAAATAAAGTAAATTATAATTGCTTAGAAAGGCCCATGTTGATGTTCATACTGAAATTATTTTGTTCTTGAGTAAATGAGCTGTATTTAAGACCTGTATCTCATCCCCATATAGAAAGTATGTTGACTTTCTGTGGTCACATGTGGAGTTCAGTTTCATTCTGCTGATGGACATTCTTTTAATCAGCTTAAACATGAGTAGCTAATTTTTGTTTTTCGTGACAATGGCTTTGCTAAAAATTGCTATAAATAATCATGTTTAGGTCTGAGATGCACAATAAGAATGTGAGCCAAAGGTTTGGTCTGCTTTTGGAATCCTACTGCCGAGCATGTGGGATGTACCTAAAACATCTGAGCAGGCAGGTGGAAGCTATGGAAAAACTGATTAACCTCACAGACATGCTTAAACAGGAGAAAAAGGATGAAACACAGAAGGTAGGTGCATGTCCTGAACAATACAGGGTATAACATTGAAAGACATTCCTTAGTGAAAATTTAAAAAGCAAAATTTGTTGAACAAGTTTTATTGTTTGATGCTCTTCCTTGAAATGTTCTGTTTTAAAATTTCTTTTGGACACTGTGGCTATTTATGCTTAAAAACTGAAAATTGTCATAAATAATTGTGTTCTCTGGCATGTGACTGAGGGTATAAATATTTGGATGCTGTTAACCCATCAGGTACAGATGAAATTCCTTGTAGAGCAAATGAGGCGGCCAGACTTCATGGATGCACTGCAAGGCTTTATATCCCCTCTCAATCCTGCTCATCAACTTGGAAATCTTAGGTATCATTTTCTTCCTCAGAATGTATCACAATTAAGAAAGTATCTGGACCATTAAAAAGAGAAAAGTATTGCTATCAGGGTCTTTATAATAACTAGTCTTTTTGTTGTAAAACTATGTAAGCCAGTGATTTCAGGCCAAGATGCTAGTTGTTGCTGTTATCGGGCCAGTGCTAGGCTAAGAATATTTCGTCTTGATAAAACTACATCACAGTGGAGCATTTTTATTTGTAGTTGCATCTTAATTGGAGAATGCTCTTAGGCTTTAGTACTATATTAGCCAGTCTTTGTTAACAGAAATGCTATTATTTGTATCTTTTTATGATATTAACTAAAATGCATTTGCTAAAGTAGCCATCTTATCCTTTCATAGGCTTGAAGAATGTAGAATTATGTCATCTGCTAAAAGACCATTATGGCTTAATTGGGAAAACCCAGATATTATGTCAGAGCTGCTGTTCCAGAATAATGAGGTCATCTTTAAAAACGGGGATGGTAAGAACGAATACTGTGTTGTGACATGCGTATTTTTCCATGCTTTTAAAAGTTGCAAGGATGCGTTTTAAGTCATTGTGGGTTATAAGGAAACACTGTGGTGTGTTCTGCATATCTTTAAAAGGACTTCTAAAAACAGCTTTTCACTTTCTACTTGTCCATGACACTTATATTCACTTATATGGTTTCAGATCTCCGTCAGGATATGCTCACACTTCAAATAATTCGAATTATGGAGAACATTTGGCAAAACCAAGGCCTTGATCTTAGGCAAGTATTCATAGAATGTGCTGATTGGTCCAGCCTGTGTCTGTGTTTGCTATTTCTGCTTGATTAAGAACATATGCGAATCAGGAATTTGTACACTTTAAACCATATAATAATAGATTAATTTCCCTACTTTACAAATATGTTACTTTTTCCCCTGTATCTTTTGAATCAGTTGCATTGCAACTTAGCTGTGCAGTGAAGGTGCAAGGGGGCTCAAAACTATTAGAATCAATGTAAATGCTACAGTAACTTCCATGAGGATGGTTGCACTAGCCTGAACTAATTTGTGTCTCCTTGTGATGAACCCATCCTGGTTCTAGGTATACCTGGTGGGATGTTTTCTGTTGAATAGCAGACCACATTTCATGCACAAACAGCATTCCATACTGCCTTTCTGTTTCAAAAATGGTTTCTGTGGTTTAAAAAATTGTTGCTTCAGAAATGTAAGTCCTTTTCTTTCCCCTTGGTGGCTTGGAACGACTTGTGGAATTCTTTGGTTGTTTATCCAAATGGCTTTATATTTCCCCACCTTTCCAGTAGGAAAGCAAAACTTGACTTGTTACACAGATGGAGACTTTGCCACCTCTGTATTTTGTTCATTGACCATATTATTTTCTTCAAGTGTGCACATTATATTGGGGGGGAAATAACCTCTTGTGTTTCTCTTCTAGGATGCTGCCTTATGGTTGTTTATCTATTGGTGACTGTGTGGGGCTCATTGAGGTTGTGAGGAATTCACACACAATCATGCAGATCCAATGCAAAGGTGGTCTTAAAGGCGCACTGCAATTTAACAGTCATACTTTACATCAGTGGCTCAAAGACAAGAATAAAGGAGAAATGTAAGTTACAGTTTTACTTGTCTCCACCCCGCACACATGATTTAGTAGATTCTTTCCTTGACAGAAGTTATGGAACCTGCATTCTTCCTCAGCTATACTTTTTGTAGCTGTTTTATACATCATGACCACAATCCAGACATCCGTTTCAGCCCTGTATTTACGGTATGTCTAGTGAGGGATTTAAATTTTTTCTTGGAACAGAATCTAGTATGTCACAAAGTGCTTTTGAAAGTCTCAGCAGTTTGTGTTGTGGACTATTGAGAAGACAACGCGTTTCTTGACTAAGTTCATAATGAATGTCACAGGTAAGTGATCTAGTTACCTCGTGTCGTGGTTTGGGGCTGATAGGTTCGGTTGTGATTTTTCAGATTTGTTGGAAGCCCAAGAACTGCCGTCCAATGCGGAAAGCCTAACAGTTGTGTGATGGCAAAGTGATAAGAGAGTTTGAAGGGTAGCTGTTGCAGTTATGTTCGGGAAAGCAAGCACATGAGGCCTGTTTTCAAAGGTTGATTTTCATGGGGCAACACACAGTAGAGTGCTTCAAGTCCACCTGTAACTCAGAACAAATGAGACTATGACTCAGATTTCTGCAAACAGAAATTAGTGTCCAGTAGCTGATACCCATTAAGATATCAGAAGTTATCAGTGCCCATTTAAGAAGATTCTTCATTATGATCTTTATGCATTCACACTGATTGGTCAACATCTGCACAGAGCTACCACATTTGGAATCTGTCAGACTGAAAGCTTTTGACCATTAGTGCCCTCCCATCTTCTCACATTCCACTGCTCCTTCGTCAGTTTTGTTTCATCAACCACAGTGGCTACACCCTGAGTTACTCTCTTCTGACAGCTATCACTTCACAGTTTACAGCATTTAACAGCAACAGTTATTACCTGGAAAGAATAAAATTTACATTTTTTCTCCCTCAACAGCCCCAGATATTTTCTTCAAGTTGTGTGTGGAGTGTCATAGGAAAATCCCATTTCTAGTCTATAAGAAATAGATTTGTTTAGATTTTGCTTCTTAAACTTGAAGATAGTGCTTGGGAAAAGTTTTATCTGTTTGAGAAGGACTCATCTATGGCTGTTAATATCTCAGGGGTCCACCAAGGAAGCTGTTTCTTGGTCACCTGAGGTTCTAAAAGGCCCTTCTGTTACTGGTTTCATCAGCCAAGGCTTTGTCTTTGACTACTTAGCCAGACTCTGCTTCATCACAGGATAAGGCTGGCTCAACATTAGTCATTTCAGCATGGAAGAAGAAGGTGGTTACATCAAGGAGAGACAACCTTTCTAATCAGTCAGCAAAAAAGTAGAGGAAAGGCACAGTTTGCAGCAATTTCTTCAATTGTTTGAAGAAGGCAGAAGAAGTTACTTCTGTAGCATCGGAGAAAATGTTTCAACAGTTAATGTTACACCCTCCAGCCATACCTGAATCTGTCTTAATAGTCCTTTCATGGAGGGTAAAATCAGAAAAGAAGCAGAGTTGGCCTTGCTGACCCAGCCAAATGCTGCTGAGCATGCAGGTGTCTTGGCATGCTTCAGTACACCAGTAAGGCCCTTGACATCATTGTCTTACTGCTCTTCTTCTAGGCCTACAGGGACAGCATCAAGTATATCATCCAACAACACTGTCATCAATTGAGGATCCTTATTACTGTCTCTATTGATGTTCACCATCTCCCAATTGGCATTTATTTATTTATTTATTTATTTATTTATTTATTTATTTATTTATTTATTTATTTATTTATTTATTTATTTATTGATTGATT